CCCCTATTGTAGGACTCCCTACGATCTATTCTTGGTCCTTGCTCTTTCATATAAATTTTAGGATCCACTTGTCAAGTTCCACAAAAAAAAAAAAAAATCCCGTTGAGATTGTGAATGAAACCCAACTGAATCTAAAGATCAACATCCATATGAAATTGAAATTGCATTTTTCAGTTCATGAACATGGTGTGTCCATTAAATGTTTTCAATAAAGTTGTATACTTTTCTTCATAAAGATCATGCCTTTTTTGGTTAGATTTATTTTTTTAAAGATTTTATTTATTTAATTAATTGACAGAGTGAGAGAGGGAACACAAGCAGGGGAAGTGGGAGAGGGAGAAGCCGGCTTCCAGCCGAGCAGGGAACCCAATGCTGGGCTCAATCCCAGGACCCTGGGATCGTGACCTGAGCCGAAGGCAGTCGCTTAACCAACTGAGCCACCCAGGCGCCCTAGGCTTTTTTTGTCTTAAGTATTCTGCAGTTTACTGTGATGTGCACAAGTGTGGTTTCCTTTGTCTTTACCCTGAAGAAATTCCTTGGGTTTCCTGATTCTATGAATTGATGTCTTTTATCAGTTCTAGAGGATTCTTGGTTGCACTACACAGATTTTCTCTGTCCCTAGTGAAGCTCTGATGAGACCTTCCTATTCTATCCTCACATTTTCTATCTCTGTTTCTGGCATTCTGGATAATTTCTCCAGCTCTATCTTCTAGTTAAGTCTTTCTTCAGCTGCAAAACCAATCTATTGAGTTTTTTTCTTTTTTAAGTGGTTGTGCCCATTCATCTGTGAGTTTTACATGTCAAATATTTTATTCTCGTTTCTAGTTCTGTTTGGTTCTTTTTCAGATTTGGCCATTTTATATTCTCTCTTCTCTCTACTTATATTTCAGGGGTTTTTTTTGTTTTGTTTTGTTTTTGCTTTAAATATATTGAAGACACACATCTTACACTGTTTAGTAATTCCAATATTTTAAGTCTTTGAGGCCTGAGTATGTGGGCTATTGTTTATGGTGGCTCCTCTTCACAATGTCTTTTTTTTTAAGATTTTATTTATTTGACAGAGAGAGAGAGAGACACAGTGAGAGAGGGAACACAGCAGGGGGAGTGGGAGAGGGAGAAGCAGGCTGAGCAGGGAGCCTGATGCGGGGCTCGATCCCAGGACCCTGGGATCATGACCTGAGCTAAAGGCAGACGCTTAACAACTGAGCCACCCAGGCGGTGCCCCCACAATGTCTTATTTTCTTGCAGTTTGTGGGTTTTGACTGTGAGTTCCTTTTTCTTGGCATTTTATCAAGGGGATTGTTTTTGAGATTGGGTCAACAGTAAATTCCTCCAGAGAAGATATATGTTTCTCAGTCATCTGATGACAACCAAATCCTGCACCACTTTAAATTTCAGCTATGGGTCTTTTGGACCACCCAGGTATTGTCAATTTAGGTGTAAACTTATTCAGGCTGGCTGTGGTTAAAAAAATCTCAGGAGAGGTTTTTCTCCTCTACTTCTACCTTGCAATTGGCTTAGAGATAGACAATTGCCCTGCTGGTTCTTATGAGATTTCCCAGAACCAGTTTTTGGTTTTGTTGATTTTCTCTGCTAATTTCTGGTTTTCAATTTTAATTGATTTCTGCTCTAATTCTTTTTTTTTTTTCCTGCTTACTTTGTACTTATTTTGTCCTTACTTCCCAAGGTGGAAACTTAAATTATTGATTTTAGATCTTTCTTCTTTTCTAAAACATGCATTCAATGCTATACATTTCCCTTAAAGCACTGCTTTTGCTGTGTCCCACAAATTTGGTAAGTTATTTTCGTTTTCATTTAGTTCAAAGGATTTTCAAATTTTTCTTGAGATTTCATCTGTGACTCACGTGTTATTTAGAAGTGTGTTGTTGGGATGCGTGGGTGGCTCAGTCGATTAAGCGGCTGCCTTCAGCTTAGGTCATGATCACGGGGTCCTGAGATCGAGTCCCACATCGGGCTCCTTGCTCAGTGGGAGCCTGCTTCTGCCTCTCCCTCTGCCTGCCTCTCCCCGTTTGTGTTCTGTCTTGCTCTCTGACAAATAAATAAATAAAATCTTTAGAAGTGTGTTGTTTCAGGTGCCTGGGTGGCTCAGATGGTTAAGCGTCTGCCTTCGGCATGGTTCATGATCCCAGGGTCCTGGGACCGGATCCCACATGGCACTCCTAGCTCAGCGGGGAATCTGCTTCTCCCTCTCTCCCTGCCTCTCCCCCTGCTTGTGTTCTCTCGGTCTCTCTCAAATGAATAAATAAAATCTTTTTTATTATTTTTTTTAAAGATTTTATTTATTTGACAGAGACACAGCGAGAGAGGGAACACAAGCAGGGGGAGTGGGAGAGGGAGAAGCAGGCTTCCCGCTGAGCAAGGAGCCCCACGCGGGACTTGATCCCTCCCAGGACCTTGGGATCATGACCTGAGCCGAAGGCAGACGCTTAACAACTGAGCCACCCAGGCGCCCCATGTAATAAATAAAATCTTAAAAAAAAAATAGAAGTGTGTTGTTTTGTTTCCAAGTATTTGGGGATTTTTCCAGCTATCCTTCTGTTAGTGACTTCTAGTTTAATTCCATTTTGACCTGAGAGCAATGTATTATTTCGATTATTTTAAATTGGTTAAGGCATATTTTAAGGACCAGAATGTGGTCTGTTTTGGTGACCGTTACATGTGAGCTTGAGAAAAATGTGTTTTCTGTTGTTGAAGCAAGTCTATAGAGGTCAGTTGTTGAGTGATGGTTTGCTGGGCTCAACTATGTGTTTTGAAAAGATACTACAGTTAAAGATTGAACGAGAACAAAAAGAGTTGAGAATTAAAATAATGGAATTTAAAAAACAGTTCCAGGGGCACCTGGGTGGCTCAGTCGTTAAGTGTCTGCCTTCGGCTCAGGTCATGATCCTAGGGTCCTGAGATCAAGTCCTGCATCCGGCTCCCTGCTCCGCGGGAAGCCTGCTTCTCCCTCTCCCACTCCCCCTGCTTGTGTTCCTTCTCCCGTTGTCTCTGTCAAATAAATAAATAAAATCTTTAAGAAAAATAAAAACAGTTCCAGAGAAGAGGTGAAAGACAAAAATCCCTCAGAAAATAAAAAGACAATATGAGAAGAGAGAAGAAAAACATGATCAATCCTGTTCTCTCTGGAATTAACCATTTATCAGGTGCTGGGTTCAATGAGAATTCCAGAGAGAACAGAGAAAATGGGAAGAAATCACTCAAGAAAACAAAATTTTGTGGGAGTGAAGGATATACATCTCCACCCAACAGCACAACGAATAATGGCACACAGTCAGGCACGTCCTGACATTTCAGAACCTCAGAGAAAGAGAAGGTCAGGAGCAAAAATAGCATGGAACTTCTCAACAGCATTACCAAAAATGTGAACACAAGGGAATACTGCCTTAAAAATGATTTTCTTGTGTGAAAATTATTTTCAACTTCAAATTTTACGACATGCTATCACACGTGTATGAATGGAATAGAGATTTTTTTAGACCATGTTTTAAAAATTTTAACTCTAGTGACTTTTTAGAGAAGGTACTTGTGCGTATGCTTCACCAAATGAGGGGTAAAAGAACTATGAACGGTGAAGACGTGGGGCCCAGGAATCAGAGGATCTAATCAGGAGAAATGCTCTGCAGCAGTTCCAGGGAGCAAACAGTCCTCACTGAGTCAGGGGATGAAGGAAAGTGTCCGGATAAAAAGAGGAACTGTAAGACTGGATGGGGGAAGAATTAACAATTGGTATGTACAGAAAACTAAGCAAATAAAACAAAAAAATGTGGCAATTTTTAACTCCACAAAAAATTTAAAAGTAATTTAATTATATCCCAATTTTGACTCTGCAGTGGGTAACTTTCACATAGTAATATAAATAGCAATTTAAACAGTGAGTATTGGTTTACCTAAAAATGGGGGAGAGAAGGGAGAAAGGTCCTGTCAACAGGAGAGCTCAAACCTCATCTGTTACAACAGAAAGCCAACAGGTGGTGTCTAGAATGAGAAATCAAGCAAGAGTAGTATAAACAAATGTATTTTTTTCCTTAGCTAGAGAACACGAGCAGGGGGCAGAGTAGGAGTAGAGGGAGAGAGAGAATCTTTTTTTTTTTTTCAAGATTTTATTTATTTGAGTGAGCGAAAGAGAGCACAAGCGGGGGGAGGAGCAGAGGGAGAGGGAGAAGCAGACTCCCTGCTGAGCAGGGAGCCCGATGCGGGGCTCGATCCCAGGACTCTGGAATCATGACCCAAGCTGAAGGCAGACGCTTAACTGACTGAGCCACCCAGGCGCCCAGGAGAGAAAGAATCCTAAGCAGACTCCTCAATTAGCGTGGAGCCTGACACAGGGCTCGATATCCTGACCCTGAGATCATGGCCTGAGCCAAAAATCAAGAGTTGGATGCTTAATGAACTGTGCCACCCAGGTGTCCTGAAGCATATTTTTTAAAATAAATAGCTAATGGGGAACCTGTCTGGCTCGGTCAGTGGAGCATGTGACTCTTGATCTTGGGGTCGTGAATTTAAGCCCCAGATTGGACTCAGAAATTACTGAAAAAAATAACAGCTAAGAGAACTGAAAATGATTGTAGCAAGAGAGCAGTGGTGGGGAATGGGGAGAGGCTGTTTTCTTGTTATAAACTAACTCCATAGTACTAAGTAGGTACATGTAAAAGATACCAACTCCCCTCATCTCTAATGTCCACAATCTCTTGGAGCTCCAACTAGTGAGGGCACTGGGTACCATGCACTGTCCCTGGTTTCATATTGCTTTATGTATACTTGTCCACATCGACGCAGTTCACATCGGTATGTAGTATTACATCATACAAATTCTCACTGGGCACTGGAAGTCTCTCCACTTTCATCATCATGAATAGCTACGAACAGAATCCAGATCATACTTTTTGTTCCAAGTTCACACAGTCATCACTTGATTGGGGTAGAAGAGATTCTATGGTCATGTGGCCCAGCACACAACACTGTGAAGAGATAGCCCAGCCCCAGTGACAAGGGGCTCATTACCTTGTAGGGCAGGCCTTTCCACCTCTGATAAGCTCTCTCAGGAAGTTCTTCAGGTTAAGTTGCAATCTCTCTGACTGACAGTGACACTCCCTTTATTATTCTTTCCATTTCCAGGTTAAACCTCTTGCTTGTTCCAACTGTGCCTCACTTGGCTTGATCTAGAGACCCTTCACCATTCTGATCCAACTGATTGATGTCTTCGAGTGGCCAGACTGTGCACAGAGGAGGGGGGTGGGCGCTTTCTTTGGTCCAGACCCCATGCTTTTGTCTCTCTCTCGTTTTAAGTAGGTTCCACACCCAGCTCGGAGCCCAACGCGGGCTTGATCTCCCCACCCCGAGATCAAGACCTGAGCTGAGATCAAGGGTAGGACGCTCAGCCAACTGAGCCACCCCCTCCCCCAAGGCTTCTCTTAACCTGGCCCCAGAATGCACTCCTTGGAAGAGTTAGGGAGTGGGCTGTGAGCTGTGTCACTCCAATCTCTCACTGGTGTCCTGGACACAGAGGCTATTGCCTGGCCACGGCAGTTAGGTTGGGGCCCTTGGTATCAAGGGCAAAAGCTCTGCAGTTACTCCTGTCAAATATCCCCTTTCTGGAGTCGTCTCCTCATTTCCTCTAGAGGGGCTGCCCAGCTCATAGGATGCTAGAGCTGAATCTGGCCAAACTGCCTCATTTTACATGTGGGGAAACTAACCCAGAAGGATTTGGTTACTTCCTACAAGCCTGAGATAGCTACCACATGCTAGGCTGCGCCTGGTCAGAGGAAGATACAGGTCCTCAAGGAGCTGTTCCGGGCTTCTGCTTCCTGTGCAGGGTTCCTGGCTCACAAGTGGCTCAGAGTGGCCCTGGTAGCACGAGCCTAACAGAGGCTGAGAGTGGGCCAGGCAGACCGGCCAGGGCTGCAGGAGGCACTGAAGGCCAGGACTGTGGGTCTCTGGTCCCTGTGGTCTAAACACGTACCTTCCCTCAGGGTTAAGCCTCACTCAACGCCTCTGGTCCATGCTTTTCCAGCTCATTCTCTCACACTATGGCCCTGCCCAGTGAACGTCCCACTTACGTGACTGATCTGGGCTCCAGGGCATAGAAGAGCTGTTCCGGGCTTCTGCTTCCTGTGCCACTTCCCCAGGATTCCAGAAACACCTCTCCTGTGCACCCTAGCCCCACCTCTGCTCTAACTGAGCCTTCCTCTCCGGGGATGCCCTTTCTGGGCATAAAATCCAAGTGAGGGGCAGAAGCTGTGTGGTCTTCAGAAGTCGGGTGGGGGGCGGGGGTCACTAGCTCCCTGCATGGGCACTCTATGCCTTCCTGCACCAGTTCCTCTCTTGGCAACCTTCATGGAGCATCACAGGCCTGAGACCTTGGTTGAGCCCAAATTTCAGGAAAGCCCCCTGTGGGGAGGCAGCTATTCCCTGGGCCCCCTGAATAGCAAGAGGGGGTCCCTTGTTTAGCTCACAAGGAGAGATCAGAGCATGTGTTTTGCCTGTAAGCTGAGCTAGCATCAGCCAAGCCTCTGGAACCCCAGGCAGCAACAGGGGGCTCAGTCTTGCCCAAGAAAAGCCTCTGATTGCCCCAGGTCAGGCCATAGCCAATTCTGGCCCGGGCCTGCAGCCACACACGAGTAATGTAACAAAGGAAAGCAGCAAAGGAGAAGGCTGGGCCTATGCCCCTCATCACACATTAACCACTTTAGAGAGCTTCCTTCGGACCTGGTGTGATTTCTGGAGAAAAGTGGGGAGATGCAGAGAAGTTCCCTGTGATTTCCTGAGGGGGAAGGAGCTGAACCTCACTGCTTCTATAGGTCACCCAGCAGTCAGGGTGGTGAGAAAGGAGACACTTAGAGGAGAGGAGAAGGAAACTGTAGCCCCAACACACTGCTGCTCGGGGAATGGGCCTGGGGCCACTGGCTCTGCCCAGCTCACTGCAAAGGGCTGGATCTTCCTGGTCCTGATTCCGCAGGGGCTTCAACACCAGTCCGGGGGTCAGGCAGCTGCCAGCCCCTCGCTCACAGGCATATTGATATGGGCGCTCAGCAGGGGTGCGCTCTGGCCTTCACGAAGCACCAGCACCTATGGAGGAGGTACCCACGGCAGTAAGGGCAGGCCCCCTGTCCTCCCTGCTCCCTGCAAACACAAGCCTGGCCTGGTCTGCACTGGGCCCAGTCACAGGCAACCAGGGCTCTGTCAAAGGGGACAGGGCTGCAGATACCCACTCTGAGCCAGCGGCCACCCGGGGACCTCGTCCACCTCACTCTCACTGTCCACCCCATGTAGTGCCAATGGGCCACCTACCTTGATAATGTCTGAGATGCCCTTGTCACTGAGACTCTCCACAAAGGTCTCCAGGGGGTAGATGAGTCCTGGCACCAGCAAGGGGACCTGAGTTTGGGGACAAAGAGGTAAGGAAATCAGCCCTCATGCCTGGACAGTGTTTAGCAGATTCCAGGGCACTCTCATGCCTGCTACAGAAGCTGAATAATCCAGGGGGCAGGCGGGCAGGGCTGACAGGCCCATTCACGGGGCACGCAGTTCAGTGAGAGGAGTGGACGCTCCAGGACCAAATGTATGTCCAGGATTAAACCCAGACGTCTTGACTCCCAACCAAGTCCCAGAGTCTTTCTCAGTTTCTGGTCCTCCCAACTTAGGGTCAAATCTGGACCCTGGTGGGAAAGCAGGCCCTTCACTGTGGAAAATTCTCCTAGGGGCAGAAAGAAGCTCCCATTCCTACTGCAGGTATGGCTGTGAGGCAGGATGGGCTCTGGGATCCCTGAGAGAGGCACAGGTGGGAGCCTGACTCTGGCTGTTCTCCTAGAACCTTCTGTGTGGCTCCCCAAGACCTTTCTCAGGCAGCGAGGCAAGGCTTGGGCATTCTCCCCAGAGATCTCTGCCATGCGCCAGCCTGGTCTGGGGCTGTAGCCACCTGCCAGTTCCCTCACTACCGATCTGTTCTGGCTCTGTGGGCACCTCCTCAGGCCCCGGCCTGGTCTTTCTCACGCCATGTCTCAGTGAGGTGGGCCCAGTACCTTGAAGAAGGCCCGGGGCAGGGCATAGAGCACCTCGTTGTACAGGAAGCAGACCAGGAGCCCCAGGATGGGTCGGGCTGCTGAGGTGTTCTGCAGGTGAAGTGTGAGCTTAAAGGTGGGGCCCAGGCCCTGAACCTGTGGAGAAGGTGGGGTGGGTGGAGAAAGCCCTTAGGACCAGCAGCCCTGGGCACTGAATCTGATGTGTCCTGGTCCTGCCCTCCAGCTTTCTCAGCAATGTCCTTGTGTCACCTTCTTCCCCACCTGCTCTAATGCTTTGTCCTGCCCCTCATCAAGGGGCCCCTCGGAAGCCCAGAAGGCTGGCTCCTGCTTGTACGGGGATCAGCAAAGGCCCAGAGAGGGGAAGGGGCTTGATGCAGGCCACTCAGCAAGTTGGTCAGAGGCAGAGCTGGCCTGGGGATGCATGCCCCAACTCCCACCTGTGGCCTCACCCCTGTCCCTGCCCCTGCCTTCCCAGGCTCTCTCCGCTGCCCACTCTTGTCCTGTGGTGGCCACAGCGACTTCATTTTCCTCTCTCTTAGCCTTGGTTGCTCTGCAGCCTCTTCCTTTCTCCATCCACTTCCTTCAGGGAAAGAGAAATCGGAAACCCAGTGGGTCAGACAGCACACCTCGGGGACCCACTGAGCACTGGCCAGAGCCCAGACGACCTCGTGGTCACTTGTGTGTGAGTGCAGGGGCTCCTCCTCCTGTGCCTGGGCCGGTCCCGGGACTTCCCTTCCCTGTACCAGGCGGTCCTAGCACCTCAGGCTGCCCGTGGTTACTGGAATGAACGGCTTTCTTCCTCATACCATAGCTGTGAGAGCCCCTCCAGTCCTGGGAAGAAACGTCCCAAGGCGACTCCTTGCGTGCCCTGCCCGAGATCTGGGGGCTTGTCTGAGGCACGGCACGGGCCAAAGGAGCTGGAGAGTATGGCCCACCCTGCGGCTTGGTTTCTGGGCCTAGGGGAGGTGAGAAGCAGGCACAAGGCCTAGTGGGCTCAGAACTGGCTCTGGGACTGAGGGGTTCCTACTCACCCTGGACCTCTGCCCCTCTGGCCCTGAGGTGGCCTGATTCCCCCCACACCAGGGTGTTCACTCACCACAGCGTGCAGCTTGAGGGGCTCCCGGGCCATCACAGACACAGGGTTCAGGCTGGACTCGAGGGCCTGCACATAGGCACGGGCGGCCCGGAGGCGCAGCAGGTAGAGGTCGGTCTGGAAGGTCCGGTGCATGGCTGAGGAGAGGGACACAAAGGGCTGGTGCGGGGGGTCAGGAGGGTAGGAGGGGCAGAGGTGGGGGAGGAGGGTCTCCTGCGTGGGCAGCTGCTCACACACGCAAGAGGCAGGCCGGGTTTGTGGGGACGGGGAATGTGGGAAAAGGGAGGAATGAGGTGCAACAGGCTGGCTCTCCAGTGACACGGGCTGCTCTGGGCCACAGGCTGCTCCCTCCTTCCTGGTTTCCTACCACCGCGCTACCCACACGCACGAGCCCAGTCTCCCGGACGGCTCCTGCGACTCTGCCTTAAGGGCTGGCACCCCCTTGAGTCTGGTCCCCCATCCTCCGCCTCTGCCCTGCCCCAGCGTGAGCACCCCAATGAGGAACCACCTCAAGCTCCCGAAGGCGGGGACTCGTCACTGCTGAGTCTGCAGTGCCCCACTCGGGCCCGACCCACGTCCACATCGCAACACAGATGCGCTGCATCTCCGGCAGCTTGGTGCCTGGGCCCGCCTCCCGCTTCTAACTGCCCAGTGGTCCCTCCATCCGGACATCCCACCGACACCTCACACTCAGCACTGTGGAAACCCACCTCATCGCCTTCCCTCCGTCCCCACGCCCCAGCCACCAAGTTAGCCAGGTTCTGCCCTCACAGCTAGTCATCTGCCAAGGCCTGAGGCTTCTTCCCCAAAGCCGTCTCCAGAGCCTGCGCCCCCTCCATTCCCGCCGGGACACTTCCAGACTTCGCACGCTCGTTTCCCAGCCTGTCCCCGTTCCTTTCCTTGTGTGAGGGGCCTTCTGCCACTCAGAGGTTTTATGTCTTTATGGTACCCCACCCATTGATCTTTCCTTTTTCCTCTGGTACTTTTACAACTTATTTTGAATTTACCCAGAATGAATGTTCGTGTTTGGTGTGAAGTAGAATTCTGTTTTTCTAGAAGTAAGTTGTCCTAATCATGCTTTTTGGACAGTCTCTCCGCTCCCTGCTAATCTAAAATGACACCTTTAACACATACGGACCTCCCACATGGAGGAGGGTCTATTTTTGGACTTTCTAGACGTGCCCTGGATCGGCGGCGGTTCCTGCAGTCCTACCACACCTGCCAATTCCTACAGCTTCATAGGTCATTCTGCTGACCAGCCCTCATTTCTTAAATCCCCCCCAAACTTCTTAGATTTACTTAGAATCAACTGGTCAAGTCCTCAAAGTAAACCCTACTGGGATTTTCCCTGTAACATCACTATGTTCCTAGATTAATTTTAGAAGCTATTAATTAATTAATCAACAGCTTTAAGGCATTAGGTCTTCCTACCCTGAGACTTGGGAAGTCTCATCATTAAAATATTCAGGTGGTCTTTTATGTCCTAGAGAGTTCTGTAACTTTCTTTCTTAGACTGCCATTTTTTTTTGTTAAATTTATTTCTACGGGTTTTGTTGCTATTGTGAATGGAAACTTTGCATTATATTTTCTGACTGGTTACAGTTGGTATATACCAAGTTATTGATTTTTTGGTATATTTCACATTCGGTCACCTTAGAGAAGTTCCTAATTATTTCTCAAATGTTTCAATTGCTTCTCTTGGATTCTCTAGGCTACAAGAGCCTGCTAGCTCTTTTATCCTCATAGTTATCCCTGAAAAGTATAAGCAAGGTCCCTTTATGAGACAGAGCTGGTTGAGTACTGTATTTTTCTGTTCGACATCTTTCCCAGCCCCCACCACCTAGAATCAACCAATATCCTAGCTTTGCATTCCAGGCCCTTCCAGAGCCAGCTCTGACCTGCCTTGCCAGTCTGTGCTTTGGCCATCCAGCCTTCCTGCACGGCACCTGTCACTACATGGCAGATGTTGCTTGAATCCAGGTAGGGTCCTGTGCCTCTACTCACACCTCGGCCTGGATCTCCTTTCCCCACCCCTTTTTGGCTGGTGGACTTGTAATCATTTCAGGGCGAAGTCCAATGTCACCTCTCTCTGAAGCCTCTCCCAGGCTCCCAGGCCAACTTCCTCACTCCTGTGAGCCTCACCAGAGACCTCTTTGCAGAGACCTCTTCTACACCCATTATGCAACGTGAAATTAGCGAGGGAGACTGAGCTCCTCAAGTCGGGCCTAGCCTATTTCAAGGCACCTGGCAGAACGCCGGGCATAATCGCAGGTATTGAGTGAATGGAAGAATGAGTGCAAGAGCGGAAAAAAACGAGTAGGAAAAGGCAGAGCCCTGGTCCAATTCTATTTCTCTCACGAGAATTTCTGCATCGAGAAGCAACTGTTCTATCCTCTGCATTCATAGGGTGCTCGCCTTCACCCATAGCATCTTCTACCTTGAGGCAGGTATTGTAGGCAGAGTACACCTCCTCGGCTGTCTCTGGACTTCCAGAGGCAGGAGACCTGCCTGGCTGCCCAGGTCTCCCAGTGCTTAGGGCACGAACCAGGGAGGGTTCACCCGTTTCTTGCTGCTTCAGAGCCACAGAGAAGGAAGAGGAAGGACCTGGTCTGAGTCTCACCGGTGCCAGCCTCCCGCTCTCGCAGTGTCTGATCCACATAAAGCCGGGTCTTTCGGGGCACACTGAGTTTCATCGCCTGGGCTGGTGGGGGGCCCACCACACCTCCTGCTTCCACAAACACTGCTGTACGCTTCAGGATCTTGATGATCAGGCCACCGCCTAGGAAAGTGGGCAGACAGAAATAGATCTGTCCTTCCTAGTTCTACCCAATATTCCCAGTCTGTCCTCCCCAAACCGTCTGCCTCAGATAGAGCCATCTCTGTCCATGTCTGTCTTCTTGCCGAGATTCTGGGTTTCTAGAAGGAATAAAGTGTGTTTTAACAATGTCCTACCATTCATTCAGCAGTTACTTATTGACTGTGATGTTCCTGGCATTGTGGCAGGCTCTGAGACTGGGGGGAACTGGAGACACTGGCCCGTGGGTAGCGCAATCACACCGATGATGAGCCAACCTCAGACAGGCCATGTGTCTGCAGGCCTTGCTTTCCAAACCCAGGCCTGCCTATGCTTCACAGCCACCTCTTGCTTCCCAGGATCTGGCCCATCACCTTGGTGCCTAACTCAAAAACCCCTGCCAGGTCTGAGTCTGCTCACCCCGAGTAGTGATGATGAGGGTGTTATCCTCCCGCCCGTAGCGGCCAAAGCAAAGGCTGGTCACCGCATCCTAGGATGGAGACACCAGAGTTTAGGGGGGGAAATATCTTGGAGAGGAGAGCAAGACTGGAGTGGGGTGATAAGGTTGAGAGACCCCAGATATGATATGATGAAGAGATGTGAGGTGAGGCCTGAGGCAATGCTGCCTCCAAAATATTCCCTGTATTTCTCATCTGCCTTCCGACCTCACTGCTACGGCCACAGTTCCAGAATAAATGTCACCGGGCTTCTGGGGTCAGCTTTCTAATAGGCCCTCAGCCTAATGTTTCTTCCCAGTCTGTCTTTCGCATTTCTGCCTTTCAAAAATACAAACATGATCATGTCTATTTTCCGCCAAAGAACTTCCAATGGCTTTTGTCCTCCTTGTTAGAACAGTTCAAGGCTTTCCACATCTGACTCCAACCTGCCTTTTCTGTTCTGCTCTACCATTTCCCCAAACCCCACCTCACCTGTCTCCCAAAAGCCTGCGGTCTAAAACCAGCGGCTTTCAAACTTGATACTGTGACATAGGACACTTTATACATACATACACACAAGTTCACATGTGATATACTCTGAGCTTTCTTTTTTCTTTTGCTGGGTGTGACCCATTAAATTAATTTAATGACTCAGAACTTAGTGTTCGAAACACTAGTCCAAACTCATCGAGCCACCTGGATTCCTTAATCAAGAATACTCATGCCCCTCAGCCTTTGTTCATGCTGTTTCCAGTCTGGAATGTTCTTCCTCCATGTATCCACTTGGCAAACTGTTTTGAGGCCCAGTAGAATTGTCACTTGCTCTCGGAAATGACTCATGAGTTCCACCCCCATCTATCCTTCACCACCTCCCCAGTCACCAGGCCCTCTCTGTGCTTTGTCAGTATTCTGCTCTGCTTTAAGTCTTGGTTGTATTTGAATTAGCTGTGTCTCTGTCTGGCTGTCACCTTAGATTATAAATTCCCTGAAAGCAGGATTTAGACATCGTTTTTATCCCTCACACAACAGTGACTTGTGCTTACGAGATGCTCAACAAATGTTTCTGAAATACATCAAGGGGCGCCTGGGTGGCTCAGTTGGTTAAGCATCTGCCTTCAGGTCAGGTCATGATCTCGAGGTCCTGGGATCGAGCCCCACATCGGGCTCCCTTGCTTAGCAGAGAGTCTGCTTCTCCCTCTCCCTCTGCCTGCACCCCCTCTGCCCCCCACCTCCGTTCATGCTCGTGCTCTCTCTCAAATAAATAAATAAAATCTTAAAAAAAGTACATCAGAAGTCAAGGTTGTCAGGTGGAGTGGGATCAGAAGAGGCAGCTAAGAAGCCCCAGAGGTGGGAATGGGGGGCGAAGAAGAGTGAGCAGCTCACCGGGGTGCGGATGACATTGAGCAGGGCCTTATCATGGTAAATGCGGACTTCTCCATTGGCCAGCCCAGCCATGACGGCCTGCAGGCCCCGCGAGCGCTGCTCCAGGAGGTTCATGGTCAAGATGGCTGCTGGCATCTGCACTGTCCACAGCTTCTTACCCTGGGAGGGAAGAGCTTTTTACCTTGGGAGGGTTCAGGGCACAGCGTGGAAAGGGTGGCTGGAGTTTTCAGGGAAAGGGACACCAGAAGGAATCCCTTGCTAAAGGGGAACCAGGGAGACATACGTGGAGGGGGTGGGGGATGATGCTTGCCCGGAAGCCGCACCTTGTGGGTGAAGCCATGCAGGCTCTCTTGGGTGCTGCCCACCACCAGGACCTTGTGTACCCGGACAAGCCCCACAGGCTGGGCACTCAGCTCGATGCAGTACTTGGGGTGCTTGGAGTCTCTGTGGAATAAAGACATACTCTCCAAGCCCCAGAGAAACCTTCTCTCCTTCCCTGGCTGACCCTCCTCTTTCTAATCCCCACAAACTATCCCAGAAGGAACCTTGGACCAAAAGTAGATGACCATAGTATTATTTCCACCTTTACCACTTAGCCCCTGTGTGACCTTGGATAACATGAAGTGTGCTTTCTTTCCCGGTCTCCCTGCTGCCTTTACTGCAGTGATTTGTGTGAGAACCTGGCATTGAACAGTTTACAGTGAGTGTACCTTAGGCTAGATGAGGTGCTAGCGGACTTAGGCAGTTTAGCAACTCATCAGAAATGCACGAGAAGTCTGCTCTGTGTAAATGCACTGTTTTCAGTTTCCTGGCTTCTGAATCTTAGATTCTCTCATCCAGAAAGAAGGGGTAATTCCAGCCTACCAATCACAGGCTATGGCTCCCCTTTCTTCATAACCAAGTCTGATGATCATATCCCATCTGATGACCCATCTGAGAGCCTCCCTCTGGTCTCTGGGCCTCCTTCCAATCTACTCTCCACCCAGCAGAGCAATCTCTTAAAAATATAAAAGGCTCACATCATTCTTCTGATTAAAACCCCATAATAGTTTTCAAATTCTAAATCCTTACCATGTCCTAACAGGCCATGCATGAGCCAGATCTCGTCTCCACACACCTCTTTCCGCCCTCCTCCTTGCCCATCAAGCTTGAGGAGCACACATCATTATCTTTCCCATCTTGAGTTTGCTCAAGTTTTCTCTGCCTACAACACTTCTTCCCCACTTTTATTTTTTATTATTTATTTATTTGACAGAGAGAGACACAGCGAGAGAAGGAACACAAGCAGGGGGAGTGGGAGAGGGAGAAGCAGGCCCCCTGCAGAGCAAGGAGCCCAGTGCAGGGCTCAATCCCAGGACCCTGGGGTCATGACCTGAGCCGAAGGCAGACGCTTAACAACTGAGCCACCCAGGTGCCCCTTCTTCCCCACTTTTAGAACAACTGGCTCCTTCTTAACCTTCCACATCATCTCCACAGACAGGTGTTCACTGATCACCCTGGCCCCGTTATTTCTACCCATGGAGCTTGTATTTTTTCCAAAGCACACAGGGACTATGTTTATGTCATTTAACAATACATCAATACACTCCTGATACCTTACATAATGCTTAATACATAGTGGGTGCTCAAAGATATTTCTTGAATTAGAAGATGAATGTTGTAAGGAGTATCAACCTAATGCGTAAAGAAGTGTTACATACCTATAAAGCCATACAGCAACAAGAGGCTATTTTTACTTCTTCCCATCTCTGACTGCACTGCTCACGTGTAATAGCCACTCTGCCCAGTCTCTCACTTTGCCAGTCCCATCACGTAAGCCTCCAGATGGCCCCCTAGGCACGTGAGCTCAGCCTTCTCTATGAAGTTCCCAGCTCTTTCCACTCCGAAATACCAGCTCCAAAGCCCCTAACATCACCCGGGTTCTGAGATGTTCCTCCTGGCCCCAGAGGCCACGATGCGGCTACCTTCTCAGGATATAGACGTTCCCGTTGCGGCAGGCAGCGGCAAGCCGGAACTCTACATCGAACTGGCCAGAAACCTCCAGGAAGACGGGCACACTGGGTAGGCTCATCTGCAAAGGAGAGGCTCAAATATCCCAGGTTTTCTGGCACCCTTGTCCTTCCTTACCTTCAAGTAACTCCTCTGAGTTGGTTCCTTGTCCAAATTCCCAATCTCCTCCCTCACTGTGGGTCGTAGTTTAAATTTGTTCAGGTTTTCTGGAGGGAAACTCAGCAACATGTAGCAAAAGCCCACAGTGATGGGCTACTAGTATGTAAAAAGAGCAGGTTACATGATCCTCTACCACTAAGTCATTTTTGTAGAAAAAAAGTGTATTTATAAGTTATATATCTGTGTCTCAATATGAAAATTCTGGAAAGACACACCAGAACTTTAATAGTAGATATTGTGGGTGGTGGTATTTTCTTGGACATATATTTTTTTCTTTATGCTTATCTACATTTTATAAGTTTTCTACAACATGTATTACCAAGAACCACGGGCAGGAGATGTGGGGGAACAGATGGAGGGAATGCAGCCTGGGCCTCAGCTGTGCCGAGGGCCAGGCCCCACACTGACCTTGGCCAAAATGGTGAAGGCCTCCGGGTCCAGCACCAGGAGCTCCTTGTTCTCAGTGCCCAGCACCAGGCAGGACACAGCATCCTCGTCAGCCAGGTTCTTCTTTAACGTGGTCATGGTTGTGATGACTGTCTGCAGAAGGACTTCAAGAGTCACCCAGGAGATCCCCGCACACCGTCCCCACAGGCATCCCCAGGTGACCAAAGGAGGGAAGAAAGAGGGCAAAGGAGGAGGAAGAGTACCAGAGATGTGACAGAACTTTTATGTACAAAAGTGTTCATTGCAACAAACCTAACTTTCTAAAAAAGAGGCTTAAGTCAATTACAAATTTCCATTTGATCAAAAGCCATGTAAAAATCACATTTTAAAAGAAGCTTTAACTGGGGCGCCTGGGTGGCTCAGTCAGTTGGGTGGCCGCCTTCAGCTCAGGTCATGATCCCGGGGTCCTGGGATCGAGCCCCGCGTCGGGCTCCCTGCTCAGCAGGAAGCCTGCTTCTCCCCCTCTCACTCCCCTGCTTGTGTTCCCTCTCTCGCTGTGTCTCTCTCTGTCAAATAAATAAATAATCTTAAAAAATAAAGAAGTTTCAGCTTCTAACGTTTTGCAGAACACTTCTAATGTATTAAGAAAAAAAAGGTAAAATGTTAGAATAATCCTAGTTCAAAAATATATCTGAATAAAAAAACATGCTGGAAGGCATAAATAAATACTCATAAATACAAAAACTGGTTATCTCTGGACAATGAAATCACAGGTGATGTTTAATTTCTTCATTGTGCTTTTCTAGAATTTCTACAGTGGGCACATGTTCCTTTTGTGACTGTGACTGGAGAAAAAAACAGAAGAGAAGAGGATGATCCCTTTTTTAGGAATTTCTCCTACGAAAATAATTTAGCAGGACCAAAATATTTCTTTGGATAAAACTGCTCATTGTGTGATTATCTTTAAGATTAAAAAAGAGGAATCATTCTCAACGCTTAGAGGAAAGAGGTTACAGAAACACGGATAGTAATGGTGTCCAATTATATAATCATGACATATGTATCTTGGAAAGATTTCCTCCCTCCCCCAAACTGCATCTTTTAAGCAATAATTAATTCACTTCATGATTTTGTAAGTACTCAAAGATGTTGATAACTGTGGATCTGAGCTGCTGATCAGCAGAAGAGAATAGCACTGGTCGAAGGCAGCCAAAAACTGAGGCGTGCATTGGCCCATGCATTTGGTTCAAGTGGCTTCTACAGGAAGTGGAGGGTTCCCATGAGGCTTCCTAAAATGCAAAGAGCAGCCCTGGGACTAGACTGAGGGTCAGCCCCCAGGTCAGTAACCACCAGAGTTTAATGAATAGGTTCATCAATAAAACCATTAAAATTATAACTAAGAAAAATATGAAGTGAATATAAAAGGGATACATTTCTTATCCAGTACACAAGAATAGTTACATAAACTATGAATGAAATAATTAATAATCAGTGAAATAATTAGGGGGCCATTAAGACTGGAGCTCTTTTTTTTTTTTCCACTTTACAGGCACTTTTATTCCCAAGCCCAGTCTTTCCCTCCTCATTCCACAACAACTCTAACAATAAACTGAGAATCATTATGAATTCCTGATGGAAGTACCTCCACATTTTAATGCCTTATGGTCACGTGGTGGGGAGGCCAGCGAAAAAGAACATTCAGATTAATGACAGGGAAGAAACCTGAGGGAAAGAATGGAGTTCTTAAAGACTATTTAAATGCTCAAGATATAACGTTTTGTACTCAAGGGAAGCAAATTATAAAGCATATTTATCAAGAAAATGTACCAAAATGGTATGAACGAGTACCTCTGGGTGGTAAGATTATAGTCATTTATACTTCTCCTTTATACTTCCCTTTATTCTCTAATGAAAATATGTTACCTTTACTCTTAAGACAATGAAAGTTATATAAAACTGTATATATATCAATTCAAAGCTGCACTGTCAACTGGAAATGTAGAAGGCTCTGCAGCTTTGTGACCATATATGTGTGGCACGGGCTGGAAAGGAAACTGCAAAGTGAAACTAGTCACGTTTGGTTGTAGAATCTACCACCGATGTTACATTGTCTATTTCAAAAATTGTCCATATTTTTAACAGGGAGATAAAGAGAGAAGGGACGTTACCTGCCGCTTGATGGACCTGGACTTGTGCTGGCTCACAAATGCCTCCATTTCACTCAGCTCCAGCTGTAAAAACCTGCACACACAGACAACTGGCATCTGCATGGCCTGGGCTACTTCCCTCCACAGGCCGCTCCTTAGCCACTCCCTTCCCCCTGGAGCTTCGGGAGCCCTGGCCCTCCACAGGGCCCTTACCTGAGTGACTGCACAGACAAAGGCACCTCTGCCTTCTCCCTGAAAGGAGAGGGGCAATCACGGCAGATTTAGTTGAGGAACAGGACCCTGGGGGTCAGACGGAGAGCACTGGGATGAAGGAGAGGGGCTGGGGGACTGAAGGAGGGGTGGGAAGCATATGAAGGGATAAGTGGGTTCTCACCGGATGCCTTCCAGCATCTCCTTCAGGGTCAAGGGGTCAATCCGGTCCTATGACAGCGAGGAAAAAAGGTAAGCCTGTGAGCTCCACAGTCAGGCAGGGAATGAGGATGACTCAGTGGCCGCCATTTTTGCCTTCTTATTCCCATCCCCGACATCACTTACCTCCTTGGCCTGGTTCCAAAGATCTTGTTCCAGGGGGTTTGGAGGCAACTGGGGCAGGCTGAACTTGAAGTAGGGCCTAAGATTCTTATACACGTACACACAAGGGCCTGAAGCGAGTGCGAGAGCTGGTGTCCGGGGCTCGTGCTGCTCCATGAGGAAGGTGGCGGCGGCAGCTGGCAGTGCAGGTAAGGGACTTTCAGTCAGCACTGTGGGTCCTTTGAGCACCTTCAGGCGGGGATGCTGCCCACCGGGGCCAAGGTCCCCCACAACCAGCTGTGGAAAGAGGCTGGCTTATTCCAGGCTCAAGGTCTAAAGACCCCTCCACTGACTCCTTTTCACTAGTGCACATTCATTCACTGCCACACTGGTGCACCAAGCGGGGGGCAAGGAGACTTTGTAATAAGGCTTGCAAGATGTGTGACCTTGGGAAAGTTGATTAAACTTGCTGACCCTCAGTCTTCCACCCACAAAATGGGAGTATCTACCTCATGACACTTGTAGTGAAAATCAAATGAGGTAATGAATTACGGAATCTGGTGAGTGCTAGTGAGGAGTATGTGGCAGATGATGTTTTCAGTATTCATTCAGTAAACACTTCTTCAGAGTCTGCTCCATGCCAGGCACTATTCTGTACAGTGGAGAGTGGCTGAAGTCAGTGGGGTGCCGGAAACTCCTATCTGGGCCTCTGAGGCCTGGCTTCCAAACGGGAACAGAGCCAAAGAAGCACACACACGCATGCAGATTGGGATGTGATCTGTGGACAGAGAGGAGAACCAAGCTCCTCGGTCTCTCTTTTCCGCCCTCTAATCCATCCTCCAAGCCACTGTGGCTGCCATGCAAGCCCATTCTCTCGAGTGAGGCTTTCAAGGCCTCTCTGATCTGGTCTCCAGCTTTTTTTCCATCACCTTCCCATCCATGATATGCTCCAGCCAGAATGGGGGCTGCCACAGAATGTCTGGATTCTGAGAATGCACGGTGTACCAGGAGCCACACCAGGAACTACAGGCATCCTTTCAACAATTTATGAGATAGGTACTATTATTAGCCCCATTTCACAGACGGTTTAAGCTGTGGCTCAGAGATGTTAGGTAAAAGTCATTCAAGTAAGTTGGGGAGCTGGGACTGGAATCTAGGTTTGTCTGAATCCAAGCCAGTAGTCTTTACTACTATTTTATATTGGTTTTCACTTTCTGACTCCATATTACTCTTTCCAAATATGCTACAAACTTCTAAGCCTCTGTGCCTCCACCTGTGCTGTTCCCTCTGACTGGAATGCCTTCTCCCTCCTTCCCTCCGTACCTTCTTGATACATTTCATTCATCCTTCAATACCCAGTGCACGTATTACTGCCTCCCGGTATGTCCAGACAGATCTCACCGTTCTCTCCCTGGGGCTCCCATACTTTTCATATACTCGATTTTAGCATCCACTCTTTTACTCCACAAATATTTACTGAGTACCTAATTTGTGCCAGGCACTGGGCTAGATGCTGGGAATCAACAAACTAGTCATTAAAAAAGTTATTACACAAAAGCATCTTATATTTCGTGCTAGTTATTGAGGCTGTGATCTCTATACCTTTCACTGCCAAGCACACACTAGGTATTCAGTCAATATCATGGATAAACTAAGGCCAGTGTCTGTATCTCCTCCCGACTGTGTACTGATTCATTTCTTAGTTTTGTGTCTGTACAGTGCCTGACACACAGTAGGGTTCGCTGTACGCTTGCCAAATTGCAGAATGCTTTATGGACAGGAATTTGGAGGCAAAAGTCCACTGAATTTCATTGTACTCACCACGAAGGGTACGATTCCAGAGCTATCTTCTAATGGCCCAAATAGCATGCCCACTGTGGGTTCACTGCCCACGGCTGAGCAACAGTGGAACAGACACATGACTGGGAATGTGACGGGCCCAGGTCTGCCCCTTTTTACAAATTCACTAAGCTTACTCATCTTCTCTGAATCTATTTTCCCATTAACAAATTGGGAATAAATAATATCTATGTATGTGAAAATGCTCAAAGAGAGTCTAGCCCAGAAATGGATACTAAATATAGGTTTAATTCCCTTTCTGTAAGCCCAAAATATTTCTTGATCTTTTAAAAACCTGTACCTTTAATTTTTAAATTAATTAATTTACATTTTATTTATCTTTATGTTTTAAACTTAAAATTCAACCTTTTTATTAAATATGGAAAGTTTCAGTCATATACAAAAGCAGAGATTCATATAATGAACCTCCAAATACCTGCCATCCAACAACGAAAATTAGCTTCATGGCTAATCTTAAATCTTAAAATCTATGCTCTTTTAATAAACATAAAACTTTCACTTCCCTTTCTTCTACTTTCTCTCCAGATTCCAGTCCCCCCCGCCCCCCCCCGCACCAAGGGATGTGTCCTTCCAGCAAAGAATTACAAGTTAACAAAATTAAGAGGCTTTGTCTCAGTAGAATTCCCAGCAGCATTTGTTCTGCTTTCCTTTCCGCAGTCTGTATTACGGAATCGACAGGTTCTCTTCACCATCCACATAAAAATAAAATTTAACACTAAATGTACTTTTTCAGGGTACACATGGGTTCCAGATGATGCTGAACTCCTTTGGAGCCATCAGGAAAGCTCACTTCTGATGCTTCCTCGCGCCCCAATTCTCTTTCTGCCGGAGTGATAGGCTTACCTTGTACTCCCCATCCCCATGCAAATCTGCCAGCGCTGGAAAACACAAGAGGGCCATAAGCCAGGGTTTCCCAATCCTTGAGACTTCGCTACAGAACCGTCATTTGACTCCATCTCCTGGTCCCAGAGACTTACCCAGGCAGGACGAAAAGGTGTGGATGTTGGCCATGGGGTCGTAGTGTGCGTCCAGCCATTTCGAACTGGCCTCATTGCTGGCAGAGAAGGGAAGAGTTGGCGGCTGAGTCCCAAGGGAGGGGAAGAAAACTTTGCGGGAGCTAGTCTCTGAGAGTGAGGTGTGTAGGGGGCTCTGAAATGGGGGTACAGACGTCTGGGGCCAAGTCCAGGCTCCACCATAAGCTCACTGAGTGTCCTAGAGTCACTCACACACGCACATTCATTCACTCCTTGGGCCTCAGTTTCCCTGTTTGAACGCTCAGATCCCTTCAAGGACTGCCAGCGCTTTCTGAGAAGCGCAGGAGCCCAGATCCCGGGGCCCAAGCCTCCCTCTTTACATTTGTAGGAAAGGAGGCCTCGAGAACCCCGGCCTTCACCTCTCAGCTCTGCCGCTGTCGGAATCCGACGAAGACGCAGCAGCCATCTTTGCAGGCGTCGCCTTGGCAACCGGCTCCGGCCAGCTGCTGCGCAACGCCGAAAAGAGCCCGGGCTCTGGGAAGCGGGCTGGGAAGAGCGCGTACAAAGGTTCCGGGCGCTCGGCCTTCCGGCCCAGGGCCAATAGGCCACGATGCGGGATATGCTGGCCTTAGTTGGTTTTCTGCCTGCGGGGGCGCAGTCCCTCATCCCAGCTCGTAGGAGTTATCTTTGCTCCTTCCCAGCCGGAACTTCTGGGCCCTGCACCTCTGGATTATTGGCAGGACCCTCTGGCCTGGAGAGCAGCCTTTCTAGTGTTTCTGAGGAGCAAAACTAATACTACACCCTCTCCCTCCTCATGGTTAACCCGGTTGAAAAGGGGCCATGTCCTTTCTTCCCACCTTATTCTAGAGGTCTGGGTTCAGAGAAACAAAGCACAGGGTTAAGAGATTAAATCCTAGGATTGACTGAAATTGAGAGTTTCCAGTGTTTAGGTTCCTGGAATATTTTAAAATACAGGAAATGCCACAAAGGAGGACTGTAAAAATTGTGCCACGTTCCTCCTTGTGGCTGTGCCCCCTCGTTTAGAGGTGATACCAAAATCCTGTTGTAGAGGGGAACCTAAAACTGACCTTCCTTCCCTTTCCCAGGCCTTAATCCCATTACCCCCTGCTGAGAAGTGAGGCAAAGGCAAGGATTCACACAAATCGCAAAGATGGTGGTGATTTCTTACGTTTATTTTCTGGTTATAAAAGTAATACATGAAGAGCACTGGACTGGGAGAGGCTTTGAGTCCTGTAGCATCTAGACAGGTCACTTCTCAGAACTTCCATTCCCTTACCTGGGAAGCAGGATAAGGAGCCGGGCCTTGCCCACTCTACCAAGGGCAGTGCAGACCAAATGAGATAACACAGGAGAAGCACTCGGTAAACTGGAAAGTGCCGACAAATGGAAGGGGTTAGTGTCACCACCCTCGGCTGAGGTAGCACCAAGGTCCGAGCTCCTGCTCCTCCCCTAGCACACACAGGAAAGGGGGGGCCCCTTGCAGCCCTGGTTTGATGAAGTTGGGGGAGGAGCTGCATAAATCTGTCTCAAGCCTGGCCAGATGGGGCCTCACTGGGGGACTTCCAGAACCGGGCATCAGCTGTGGCCAGCTGGGTGAGGACCTCCTCCAACTCGGGCCCGTCCTCTGGAAAGCGCTCGGAGAAGGATCGGATGAGGCCAGCAGCCGAGGCCTCATACTCGAGAAGCTGAACTTCTGAGCCTGGGGAGACAGAGAAAAAGCAGCAGGAAAAGGTTTTAATAGGAAGCAGAGAATCACAATCATAATCATAGGTGCAGGTAGCTCTTCCTGAGCTCTTGTGCAAAAAATTGTATTCAGTGTTTTATCATCTAATTTAATCCTTACAATAACTCTATGAAGAAGGAAGCATTAAAGGGAGGATTCAATGAACTGTTGCATTCATTCATTCATTCATTCATTCATTCACTTAATAAGTACATACTCTGGTGCCATGTTAGGTTAAACACACAGTCCTTGGCCTCCAGGAGCTTACAGTCCAACAATTGCTTTATATCTATCTACTGTGGGACCTTGGGCAAGTTTCACAACCTAAGCCTCATTTTCCTCACCTATAAAGTGGGGGTGAGCACAGTATCTACAGTGATTAGATACAGTAATGCCTTGAGTGAATGCTCAAGTGCTAGCTATCACTAGTATCATTATCTCGAGCACCCAGCAGAGCCAAAAGGGTACCAATTTAACTCATGGGCTGTTCCAAGGGTCCCTTGAATACTCCCGGGAAGCATTTCCCTCCAACATACTTCCACTGCTCTGCCCACTCACAGAGCCTTGTTGTGCTCTGTGGCACTGTGGGGTGTATTTAGCTAAGAGCACAGGCTTTGGGTTCAGAAAGTACACGTTCAAATCCTGGTTCTGCCGCCCACTAACTGTTGACCTCAGGCAAATACATGGCCCCTCAGTGTCTCAGTTTCCCACTGAAAAATGGGGGCAATAACTTCCCCCTGGGGTTGTTGGGAGTTAATCCATGCAAAGTTTTACCCAGTGACTGGCACATAGAGAAGTCCTCAAAAGTTACTCATCATCTTTACCATCATCACCATCATCACCATCACCACACCTTTGAAAACCCCACCCGCTCTTCAGGCTTAGTTTAACCACTTCCTCCTCAGAACCTTCCCTGATTCCCTCAAAGGTGAATGTGATCTTCCCTTCTCTAAGTGTTCTGACCACCATTTGGGCCTCTTGGGTGCTTATTAACGCTCCCTGGGTGTGATCATTTCTCCCTAGGTCTTATTCCTAATGGACTGCGGACTACTTGAAGCAAGGGCCTGGGTCTGATTCACCTCTCCATCCCCAAGGGCCCACACAGGGCTGGACAATCAAAGCCATGATCTTGTAATGAGCACTTACTATGTGTCTGGCATGATTTGTCCATTTACTCATTTGACATGCATTGAGCAGCTCCTGTGTGCCAGGCCTTATGCTAGCTACTTGCTGGGGATATGCTAGCTAGTTTCTGCTAATGTGGAAGCAAGGCAGACAGGAAAATAGCAGAGTGACAGTGCATGAAGGGATTGCTTGAGGTTGAGGGGTCAGGGACAGCCTCTCCCAGGAGGTGTCATTTAACAGAGACCAAAATGACAGGAAAGACCAACCGAAGATTGGGGGAGGGCTGTGCCCAGCAGAGGAGACAGTGAGTGCAAAGGCTAGGGGAGTGGGGCGAGCTCAGGGTGTTGGAGAAATGGAGAGGCCATGAGCCTGGAGGCCAGTGAGCCAGGGGTCCCTGAGGCCTGGCAGGGGTCAGGGCCAAATCCCCTGGGCCTCTGGAGTGCAACATAAAGAGTTGGAAATAAGCCTTTCAGATGTGTTTTCCTTGCCTGTAGGAGGTAATTATTTCATTTAACCTTCACAACTGCCCGTGACTGTGGGAGTGAGGAGCGCCCTTAATCTGACTCTAGGCTCCTCCGGTAAAGAGCTGTAAGCCTCGAATGATTCTGTCTCTGTGCCTCAGTTTTCTTAATTGTAAAATGTAAACTGTAACTACCTCATTGGGTTATGGTGAGGATTTATTTTATTCTATTTTATTTTTGTAAGTGAGCCCTATGCCCAATGGGGGGGGGGGCTTGAACTCACGACCCCAAGATCAAGGGTCACATGCTCTGCTGCCTGAGCCAGCCAGGCACCCCTGTGGGGAGGATTTAAAGAGTGAAGCCATGGAGAGCAGTAAGAGCTTGAAGGAAGTAGCTAATTGTCAGCACACAATCCACACTGGCTTTACGGATGAAGACAAGGTCACGGAGCAGCTGCCTGGCACCGCCTCTGCTCAGGTGCCTCACGTGACAAGCGTCAGGAAAGATGGGTCAGGAGGTGAGAGGAAAGTGAATGCAGCACAGGCCTCTAATACAATGGGTGCAAGTGTAGGGCAGGCAGGGCCAAGGCTTTGGGAAAGAGAGTCATCACTTGAGACGGGAGGGGGCCCACGGGGCTGCTCATCTCTCTCCTGGGCTCTGCAGTCACATCGTCCCTTGGGTTCCACCAGCCTGCTGGGTTCCACCTCATGCCTGCCCCTCACCTTGTCTCCAGGCACCGAAAGGCCTGATCCTCCAGGAACATGCCTGGCCGCCCCATAAGCCTGGGGTCTGTCTGTTCCACTAGCCCCTGCTCTGCGGGTCTTCTGCAAACCTCTGGTTGCTGTCTTTTTTTTTTTTTTTTTTTAAGATTTTATCTATTTATTTGACAGAGTGACACAGCAAGAGAGGGAACACAAGCAGGGGGAGTGGGAGAGGGAGAAGCAGGCTTCCCGCGGAGCCCAATGTGGGACTCGATCCCAGGACCCTGGGATCATGACCTGAGCCGAAGGCAGATGCTCAATGACTGAGCCACCCAGGCGCCCCTGGTTGCTGTCTTATAAGCAGCACAGCCCTGCATGTGTGGGGTGGTGGTAACAGATGCCAAGGTTTGGGGCCTAGGGTTTGGCATGGGGAGGCCTGGGGCAGGGAGGGAGAGAGGCAGGAGTCACGCCAGGTAGCCTTTCCTGAGCCCAGGGATGGGTTCCAGGCGTCTTTTGTCCATCAAAGAGGGCTCGGGTGTCCATTACCTTCAAGGCGAGTATTGGGCTGAACGATGAGCTTCCGAGATTCCTTGCGGAGCAGCACTGTGTCCCTGAGGGTGAGGAAGCACTCAGGGGACGCATCAGTGACCGCTGCGTACCCCTCATACAGGGCCCGGCCTCCGGCCACATCTCCTGTGGACTTCAACACCTGTGGGAAGGCAGAAGGAATTAGTGCCTATGATGGGCACCCCTCATGCCTCCATGGGGCTTTGCCAGGGGCCCCAGCCGGTTGTGCTCACCCTGGACGGTATCTGCTCTCTCACTGTGTTACTGTGCTGAATATGGGAGAAATATAGATCAAGGGCTTAGCTCATAATAAGTGCCTAGTAAAGTGAAGCTAATGTTTCTCATTTGGTTGTCTCATTTGAACTGGAGACAGAGCAAGCATTACCATCATCCTCTTTAAAAAAAAAAATTTCACACATACAAAATATATAATATATATATATTAGGTTATAATACATAGGTTATAAAGAATATAATACATAGGTTATAAAAAACAATAAGACACCCATATAACTAGCACCCAGCTTAAGAGTTAGTTCCTTCCTTTTTTAAATTAAAAACATTAAAAAAAATTTTTTTTAAAGATTTTATTTATTTATTTGAGAGAGAAAGAATGAGAGATAGAGAGCATGAGAGG